ATATATATATATACACGAGAACATGCAGCTGTTGGGCTCTTGCCGCGAGATATATATATATATATATATCAAACAATTGTCAATAAAACTCTCCATACGTGAAATGTTAGGAAACTACTTCGTTTACCAACTTTCTTAATATATTTTAGTATGTAACGATTTGATGACTAAACATAAAACTTTTAAGTTATAACAACATATTAAGTCTATCTTGATTCTTGAGTCATGTTATAAACTTCTACGCAAAATGATAGTAATAATATGATTATGTGGTTTATATTATTTGGCGCATCTTGACCTACTATTTGGAAAACATATGTGGCGCTTTCCATTGCAATGTTTTTTATTTTTTTTTTAAATGATTATTTTTTTTACGTTTAAACTTTGGAACAATCTAAAGATCGAGACGTGGCATATATAGGCCTCGTTCATTTCACCGATTCGAGTTTTCAATTTTAGATTTTTATAGTAAAAAGCTCTCAGAAAATGTCACATTTAACTTTTTCTGTTACAGTGAAAAGCTCTCAAAAAATATCATATCTCAGCTCGAATTGAAAAATTGAATTCGCGAAGTGAACGAGGCCATAATTTACTAATTGATCTTCTTTAAATTTCTTGAACATCCATCTTTTGAAGTAGAATTTCTTTTGGGGGCACCAAGAAGGGTGGGTAAAAGAAGTCAAGAAAGTAAAGCAAAGCATATTCTACATTTATATCGAATGGTTTAACTATAGCAGGCAGTGGCGGAGGTATTAACTGCCCACTGAGATTTTAATGGAAAAAAAATATTGACTGTAAAAATGTTTTTGTTTTCTTGTTTTGCCCACACTGAAGATCAACTATTTCAACTCTGCCCCCACTAAGAACAAAAGCCTTTTTTGGTTTAGTGTAAAATAAGAGAGAAATGAAAAATGATTTTTAGTCGTTTTTCATTTTTTATTTTTATTTTCTCATCTCTCGAGCAGAGAGAAAGAGAGAGAGACATTAATAGATTTTTTATACTGAAAATAATCTCTTGATAAAATTATCAAACACATTTTTAAAAATAATTTTTGTCCGAGATTAAAAATATTTTTATTTGCATTTTTATATAAAAAATAAAATAATTTTAGAACGAGTTTAAACGCACCCCACGTTTTTTTTTCGTTCTTTCTTTTCCCCTTATATATTAGCTGGTTTTTCTTTTTCTATTTTTTTTCCGTTATATACATACCTTTATTTGTTTGAAGTATCTCTAATGTTATCTATACCCATGGGCTATGGCTGAATTGGACAAACAACTTGCATTAACATGTACATTTATTTTGAGAAGTTTATTATAATCTTTTGCCAAAATCTTATAATTAATATAATGTATGTTGAGAAGTGCGAAATCCACGTAAATCTGAGAAGAAAAAAAAAAGAAAAAAAAATGCAATTGAAACTTGAATCAATGCCAACGCAAAAAAGAAAAAAAAAAAAGATATGAAGGTGAATTATCGTTTATATTTTTTTAAGGCATGTGAATTATTAGATGATTAAAACTTATAAACCATTTTAGCAATAATAGAGAAATATTTCAAAATAAAATCAAAGATTACACTTCCTAGTTCTCAAAATGATAATGCTACAAAATCTAGTAGGGTGGAAACAACTTTGCTGAGCTCCCAAGGTGAGGCCTTCAATTTTGTATTGCAATCTTAATTGTCGTGACCAATTACTTCAAAGAAAATACACACAAATACCTCATTATCATCATGTAAAGTATATTTTTCCATCAAGCCAATTTGGAAATAAGTAAGAAGATTCAATAATACTTGGTTTGAGGAATATCCATATTAGTTATAACATAACAAATTAAAAGATGTTGCATTTTTCTTTTGTGCTGTTGCCTTTTTAAAGCATATGATGGGGAGCAATTACCAGCCTCGTTCATTTTACTGATTCAATAGTGAATTATTTCTAGGGCCCCACAAAAAATTACTCTTTTAAGACCTGGGCAACACGCAAGACCGTTGTCATATACTCATATTGCGTAGCATTGATGAAACATAAATTAACACACACACACATGTAATGAGTACATCTATATGAAACATTGATAATTAGGAAAATGCCCACTTAAACTATTTAAATCGAGACATTGTAGAATGGTTGGTAAAATAAAATCAGATTCCCTCCTTCCTGTTCTTTTCTTTCTTTTCTTTTCTTTTTCTTTTTTTCAAGAGAGAATACAAGGGCTTTTCTTTTTATCTCTATTCTTTTCCCTCCATATGTCATCTTTCATTTTTCGTATTTATCAGTAAATTAACTCGTCCAAAATGGGAAGTAATCTGAAACAGGAACACTATATACTCTACAGTATACTTGCAATTTTGCGCAACCATGAAACTTTTTCGCGAATAAATATAGGCCTCAAACCCATATTCTTCTGCGGTATCTCTTGGGTCTTTAAGGGAAGGAGACAAATACTCTTTAGTATGTATGTATTTATATTTATATTTTTAGATTTTACTATTATTTTTTAATTAAATAACTATATTATTCAAAGGATATTAATAACGGAAATAGTAGAAAATATACCAATATAAAAAGCTTAAGGAAGTATATAAGTCAATTTTTAGTTATAAAAATTAATAGGCCATAACTTGTCAAGTTATCGTTCATAATCAGATAAGTTATGGATAAAATTGTTAAGTTATGGTTCATAACTAGATAAGTTATGGACAAAAATCGTGATTTATGGACAATAACTTGTCAAGTTATGGTTTAGAATCAGACAAGTTATGGACGAAAACAATAATTTAGCCTATTTATTAACTTATGTAAACTATTAACCTATTAATTTTAATTCATCTCAAATTTTGATTTATTTTCCTCTTTCTCCCTATTAATAAAGAGTAAAACTTCAAACTCACAAGTGCAATTTTCTTTTGTCTCCTTGTCTTCCACTGTAACGTCGCAAGACAAGAGTCCAAGTCCATGTAAGGAGGTGAAATCAGGTCCAGTATCTCGTACTCGTTCACCAGGCCCCCATTATTATTAACCCATAAAGAAGGGAACTCTTCTTCATGAAATCTTAGAAAATTCCAAGGACCATTGGCATTTGGCAGAAATTTGCCAATTAGGTGACATGGTATAAACTGCACATGGTTATGATTTACAGCTTATTTGGTGTTAAATTCTCTACACTTTTTCCCTATTTTCCTCACCTAAATTATGATTTTTTATTGGATATTTACATTTTTATACCGTATGTTTTAGGTTTATTCAAAATCTATACATTCGATTTTTATCTCATTAAACGTATACCTTTAAATTTAAATATAATATATAAATCTTTCCCTTAGCTCGACCCATAATTGATTTTGGTCTTTAAAATGACCAAATTATTCTTAAGAAAAAGAGAAAAAATAACACAAACTTTCCAACATTACAAAAAAAAAAAAAAAAAAATTAAAAACACAAAAAAACCCCATTTCAATGGTATTTTGGATATTTTCAAGATTAACAGTAAGTTTAAAGTTTTTCTTTTAGTTTTTTTTTTCTCTTTCCATTTCTATTTAAGGGTAGTTTACATATTTTATGTTTAAAATCGATGGTTGACTATAAAAAGGTATAAATTTAAGTATTAAATCTAATTTGAATGTCTACATTTTATGAGATTAAAAACTGAAAGTATAATTTTTAAATAAACTCAAAACACAAGATATAAAAATGTAAATATCCCATTTTTTTATTTCTGATTATTTTCCTCTCACCAAACATAGCCTAAAACTAAGAACAATATAATACTATTAGAGAAGGGATATGGGCTTTATTCTGTGCATTAGAGAAACTTCAATAATTAATGTATCAATACTATTTTTTTAGGTAGAAATTCTTCTTTGCAGTGCAATACTATATGTTGTTAAATTTTATTGTCACTAAGTATATCATATGTATATATCTACCGCTTTGTTCTCTATTTTTTAGTCTCCGCGATTATCTCTCTGATTAAATTAACACCCCGTATTTATTTAAGTATTTTTAACATTTTATTTCTAGTTATATAGTCAGACTCTTAAATTTAGTAATACATCAAATAATGAGTGAAAAATTAGCCAAAATAGAGACAACATATCTAAATTCAATATATAATATACCAAATCTTACATTTACCTTCTATTATTTAACGATCATTATAATTTATAACATTCTCTTTTTATAATTTTGGAATAAAAATTTATTTTTACAAGTTTCAAATCTTAGCAATTAAATGAAAAGCACTCTCAAAAAAATAAATAAATAAACAATACATCCAAGAGCACAAAATAAAATAAAATACGTATTCTAATTCACGTTTATGACAAAATACAACACTAGCATAATAAATAAAAATACTAAAATAAGATCAAATTTAACACACAGTAAAATGAAAATACGAAGACACGAGTTGCCAATCTTTCAATGATGAGCATTGATTAAATCAGAACTGACATAAAAATGGACTAAAATCTTATCCGTTTAACCTGTGATCCCAATAAACTGTCGAAGACCGGAAAGACTCCACAAACAAAGACATCATTCATCCTCTTTTTATTTGAGCAAAAAGGTGAGGCATGGAGGTCTGTTTGTCTTTTCAGGTTTTTTTATTCGACAATCAGTCAATTCCATTGAAAATGCACAAAGAAGAAAATGGTAAATAACGAACTTTTAAAAAAAAAAAAAAAAAAAAAAAAAAAAAAAAAAAAAAAAACCAAAAAAAACCAAAAAAATATAACGAACAAAATTTTAATCAGAGCATTTTCAGAATCCCGCTCCGGCTAGAGATTTATCTCACTTGGGCGTGTTTCAACTTTCAATCATCCTACCGACATTATTACTCTCATTTATCTCACTTTTCTTTTTTTCTCCTCTTCACTTCGCTAACTTAAATAAATTAGAATCTCACTTTGGATGTTACAAAAGCAGAGAAAAAGCCCCAAACTTTGTGTGAGCTTTACAATTTCCTCTTCTTTTCTTTTTTTTTTTTTTTTTTTTTTTTTTTTTTCCATCAAGCGAGCGCCGCTTTTGCAGCCCCACCACCCACTAATCATAAATTTTGCAATTTGGTCAAACCCATCCAACTGTGAAGCAGCTCGCCATTGTTGCCTATTTGTAGTTTTTTTTTGGGGCTCACCAAGACCGAGCACGTGCCTCGTCGTCCGTTGCCTTGAACGTGCGCACGTGCCGCTCATTCCCTTTACGAGTTGGCAAGACCTTGTATGTTTTATCGTCATCATCATCGACTGATCAACAAAAATCAACAAAAAGGATCAATCATTTCCCAAGCTCAAGCCACGAAGGCTCCTGATCATCAGGCTCGGAGTTCCCATCCAGCGGCTCTGATTTCACGTCCTGACTGAGATCCCCTGCATGCGTCTGCACCTGATTCTGCTGATCCTCCTCATCCTCCTCCTCTCTCCTCACGCGCTTAACGCCAATCGACACGCCGAATAGCCTCGGCGTCATATCTTCATCTTCCTGCGGAGAGCCGCCGATCGTCGCGGCGGCTACCTCCGGCGCCGCCGACTGTTTTCCCGGCATGAGCTCCAGAGGCTTCCCCTCTAGCGCTTCTCCTCCTCCGCCGCCGCCGCCGCCTTCGAGCTGAGAAGAGGCGTAGTTCGTCATCAAGGTGAGTATATTGTTGCAGAGTCCCCGGAGCTGAGACAACTCATGGCTCAGCTGCGAGTTCTCCTTCCTCAGCCGTTCGTTCTCCTCGAACAGCTCTGGCGCCGTCGTGCAGCTCGTCGTTCGGTGCAACGCCGTCGTCGCCGCCGTGGCCACCGGTGACGAGTTCGACGATATCACCTGCTCTTCTCCGGAGTTCGTCGGCGAAACGCGCACGGCTACCGGAACCGCCGCCACGGCGCCCGCCCCCCGGCCCCCCCGCCAGGGCCACAGCGCCGGCCACCGATGCGGCGGCGGTCGGAGCCGCCGAAGGAGAGATTTTCCGCCGCTGTATGTCGCGGAGGAGTCCTTTCTCGCCTCTCCGAAAGCAATCGTTCGCGAATTCCCATCGATCCGGAACTACCTTCCGAAATCCCTAGAAAATAAATAACGCAATGAAAGATCAATTTCTGAGTTCGATAAATTATTGGTTAATTTTGCTAGAGAGAGAGAGAGAGAGAGTTACGTAGGTGTTGAGTTGACGAACGAAGCTAGAGAAGTTGTTGTGCTTGAAATATTTGGGAAGCAAATCTCTGGCGAACTCGGCTGGTCGCCAGACGATGAAGGTGGATCCGTCGTCGTTCCACGAAATCAGGTCGTCAAAGGCCGGATCGTCGACGAGTTGATAAGTTTTTGTCAAGAATGGCGTCGGGAGAGTTCTCTGCGAGTCCAGAGCTCCGCCGTGGCAAGACTCGCCGGTCTGCTCGACCGGCAATGGCGCCATAGACAGGCCTCGCTCTCAGATCCAAACCCTAACTGAACTAGAACCGAATTTTCTTCGCCGTTTAGGCTCCGAATCAAACTCTTAAACCAAATTAAAAAACTACAAAGGAAAAGAAAAGGCATAAAATCAAAATATATAAAAAAAAAGAAGATAAATTCGATAATAACGTTCTGTTTGGTTGCCGATAAACTATTGAATCAAATTCATCTTTACGTAATATGGCTGGCTATAAAAAACATTAATCCAGTAAAGTTCTTCATCTATGAAAATGAAATTATGAGTTCATAAGATACCATCAAACATTTACCTAAAACCATGCTAGAAAAATACAAAAGAATGCTGGCTTTTATTATTTACCTGGAAATCGAGGAAGTTTGACGGAAGAAATCGGTGAAATTTTGCCTCCAACCAAACGGCCGGCCGAAACATCACAACATGATCGAATCAGAAGGAAAGCCAAAAGCACATCGTCAAAACTGAGCTTCCACAGAGGAGAGAGAGGGGATGATGGAGAGAAGAGAATAGGTTTTGTTGTTTCTAGAAGGTTCTGGGGGTGGGGAGTAAATGATAAGAGAGAGAGAGAGAGAGAGAGAGAGAGAAGGAATTCGTGGGTTCGAGAAGGAAAAGGAAATTGAAGGAAAACAGATCAGAAAAAGGGCAAAAGAGGCGGGGCCCACCCGAAAGAGGGAGGGAGGGAGGGAAAACAATGGATACGAAGGAGCCAGAAGCAGGAGCGTGTCACGTGTGTGATTGTGGGAAGAGTAGAGCTTCTTCGCCTTCTAACGTCTTTTCCAGAAGTTTCTCCCTCTTTCTTCCCTTTCTTTTTTTATCAATTTTTTTTTCATTTTTCTAATATTTATTCTTATTTTATCATTTTTGTTTTTGGTTCTTTCACTAGTGCTCTCTTTTTTTTTTTTTTTTTTTTTGGGGGGTAATCGTGGTCCCTATAGTAGTTTCATGAAGCTCTCATTTTGGTCGCCATTTATTTTTTTAATCTAACATTTTGATCTTAAACTTAATTTTAGCTTTGTTTAGTGCTTCTTACTCTAATTCCGTTAGAAAGATATGGAAAAGTTCAATAATCAAGGTGAAAAAAATGGTATCTATAGATTTTTTGGACTTTTTTTTTGCGGAAATTTTTTTGACTATCCATAATTGATTATAGATATACATCTCTTTCGTTTGGATTAGTTATTAATGGTTTGCTTCATTGGTTGTTATAATTTCACATTTAAAAAATCCACTTTTTGTTTTTGCAATTTCAATCCCATCCTTCAAAAATATTTAAGGATTTCTACTAGGAAAAAACTTTTGAAAACTCTATTTATTGCAGGATGTTGTTAAATATATCACCATAAATAGTTACTACGAGTCTCTGTTTCAACATATCATCAAATATATATTATTAAAAATGAATGGAAAAGAAGATGTCACGTGCTTAAAAACAGTATTATTACACGTCATTTTATTTGAATACATGATCATGAGGATAATTTGTATATTTTGAATCATTTCATCAAGTATTGTCAGGTCAATGGAAATTGGAATAAAATTCGTTGCTTTACAAATTACAATGTTTTATTTATTTATTTATTTAAGAACACAGGGTGAAAAAATAAAATTCAGCTAAAATATGAGGATACGTGTGTATAGATATATATTATGCAATTGATACAAACGATATTTTCATTAATTTCAAGCTATATTTTCAATTTTTAATCCTGTATTTCTGGTTATCAAAAAATTATAAAATTGTGTTTTGGATTGCGCCACACTTATACCTTTAATTTTCTGGTTGAATACCTAAACAACCTTAAAGAAATCAAATTTTCAATCCAAAACATTGAAACTAAAGCATCAAATACAAAGGATAGATTAATAGTATTGAGAAAGAAGTTCAATATTACTAGATATTTAACAATTTTTTCTTCTTTTCTAATTTATTTCACAACAAAGATTAACGTAAGAACGGCAGACCGACTTTCGTTTCCCCTAGAAAGACGGAGACCAACTATTCTACATCCAACGAACTCATTATATTAGGGATCAAACAGTTTAAATTCACAAAGACAGGAACTAATATGAGAATTCCATGAAAACTTGGGGACTGTTGTGATTTTTAGAATTACCGGATTGTCCAACACGTGTCGGTTAGATAATGGGGAGAGAGAGAGAGAGAGCCCAATCTTCTACTAGGGATAAGAATTTCTGTGGAAACTGGAATCGAATGGGGTTAGGGACCTGATTGGCTCACCAGTGGAGGGATACAAAAAGGGTCACCACCAGTGGATTAGTTGCCACGTGGCCAGTGAAAGTTTGGAAATTGGGATTATCACCGGGGTTTTGGAGCTTTTAAATAGAACCGGGTCATCACACGACAACACGACTTAAAAATGACACGAATTTCGCAGGTTATGGTTGAGAAAAAAGAAGTTCGAGTCAAAATTGAGTTAACTTGAAATTGACACAAAAAATAAGGATCAATTTCGAGTTGGACCAATCTAACCTGAACACGACACGAAACTTATAAAAAATTAAAAAATACATATATTTTTCATTACATATTTTTAATTTTATTATGAACTTGTGATATCATGATAGTTATACTCAAAATTTTATACTATTATTTGCTTAATTTCAATGGTGTTGAATTTTAAGTTATTTCTAATAATTAAAAAACTAAATAAAAGTATACAATTTTTTGTGTCAATTTCGGGTTCACGGTTCATTTTCGTGTCGTGTCGTGTCAACCTGTAAAGTGGTCATGTTCGTGCTGCGATTTTTAAAAAATTTCGTGTCACGGGTCATGTTCGGGTTGATTATAAATTTAAAAAGAAATGATCAAAACACAACACGTAACACGAATTACCGCTCATACTTTTATGTACTCGACAAAATGGGATTAAACACTTCAAGACAAATTAGAATGTTCTTTTTTTATTATTATTTATTTTTTATGAATGTCTTCCATTCACAGCTCATTTACAGGCTGCCTAACTCATTCCCTAATTTGGTTTCATATAGAATAGAAACACTTTCATGGAATAAGATAAAGGACAACCGGGTAAATTTAAAAAACATTAACAAAGTTTAGAAAGGTTTTTCTTTAATTTAGAAAAGTGTTAAATAATTTAAGAGGGGTTTTCTAATAAGATAAAAAAAAATGAATTAGTAATAATTTTATATTTTCAATCATTAAATTTATATAAAAAACTACCTATTTTATATATTTTTTTAATATTGCTCTACCGTTAAGAAAGCTCAAAGTAAATCCCATATTTCAAAGTTAATTTTTTTTTCTTTTTTTGTTGATTCCTGCAAGTCTAGAAGTTTGGACAAAAGACAATAACAAAATGCAAGGTGGAAATGGGTATTAATAACTAATGAGACATCAATTATTTAATGGAATTTGGTGCGAGTTCGATATTTTTACTTTTAAATGTCCACGACTTGATCATTTATGTGTTACTAACGCAAAAGATTTTCCATTGCTCCCACGTTTTATATTTAACTAATTTTGTATCGTGTGTTCAGTAGATATTATTGTGTTAGAGATATTTAAAGAGTTTATTATTTATTGAATATTGAGAAATTTATTTATACAATTATTTAGGACTCGTTTGGTTTATACGTTTAAATCGGTGATTCTTGATTTTAGAATTTAAAATTCAAAGTTTTTGTAAGAGAAAAACACTTTAGCAGAATCAAAACTATAGATTTAAACGCATAAAACAAATGAGTCATTAAAATTTTTTGAATTTATTTTAAAAAAGAATATATGTAAAGATAGCAATTGATGGAAAAAAATTAAATATGAACACATTTGAAAAAATTTATTTTAACTAAACAAAAATAAAATAAGAACACATGCGAAAAATTACTCTCATAAGAGTAAAGTGAGGAGCAACATATTTTTAAAAACACACAAAAAAATTAAAATGTTAAAAAAAATTCCAAAAAAGTAAACATAAAAGAAAAGGAACCAAGTGAGGGCTGCCATGTAACAGTTCTATAACAAAAAGTTTTAGGCCATGTTCATTTTACCGATTCAAGTTTAAAATTTAAATTTTATTACAATAAAAAGTTATCAGAAACAATCACATCTAATTTTTTTATTACAGTAAAAAGCTCTTACATAAAGTCACATCTCAATTCAAATTTAAAATTCAAATTAACGAACTAAACAGACTCTTAAGTTTTGTATGAATCGTTAGATTAAAGTAAAACGCATAATCACATATCGTTAATAGCCTGAAATAACAAGTCAAAATGTATTATAAATCCAAACTCATGGTAAACACATTGACTGACTAATAAGCAAGATATTTTTTCTTTCTTGAATAATCCAAGAAAAAAAGAGTGGTCTTGAATGTTTTGCATTTTCGAGAACAACTACATAAACGTCTATATAGGTTGTGAAAACGAACACTTGTGTGTTAGTTTGAACTTTGACCACGAGAATTCATAGTGCCACATTTTCTGAAATTTTCAATCATTTTTCATATTATAGGTTATATTTATTTATTCCTTTTTTTCCCAAAAAAAAAAAAAAAAGAAGGAAAGTTTAGGGTCCGTTTAGTTTATTGATTCGACTTTTTAATTCGAGTTGAGATGTGATTTTATGTGAGAGCTTTTTACTGTAGCAAAAAAGTTAGATGTGATTGTTTGTGAGAGCTTTTTACTGTAGAAAAACTCGAATTCTAAACTCGAATCAACGAAATGAACGGGGCCTAATGTTTCTAAACTTGGGCCGATTCCGGAAGTCTGTATTGCAATTTCATGTTGTCAACTTTGAACTAACATAAACAAGCCCACCATAACAAATAACTTAGGAGCGTTTGGTACGTAGTAATCAACAGTAATCATATTCTTAAGAAAGTGATAGTAGGTAATATAATTCTCAGAAAATGTATATTATCATGTTTGGTTGCACGAAGGAATCTTTTCTCAGATTTCTAGGAATGTTTAATTATTGTGTTTGGTTGTGCATGGTAATGTAATGTATTTTTACTTTTAATAAAAAATCAATAATTTTGAGTATTTTAAAATTTATTGGACCTTATTAATCTAGATAATTATTATTTTAATAATCTATTTTAAGAAAAATCTTAGCCTAATAGAGATTTAAAAACGAATGTAGTATAAAAAAAAATTAAAAATGAATTTTTAAAAAGAATTAAAAATAGAAAATAAATAAATTGATAAATAAAGAATTTCTTAAATTTTAAAACAAAAAATTTTTAAAATGAAAAAAATGCTCTTTTTCTCCCTTTGTCTTCTTCACACTCTTCCCCCCGCTGCACCCCACCACTGTGAACGTCAGCCTGGCCCAAGCTAGTCGAGTGTCGGAGTACTTTACCTAAACAGTGGCGGCCTTAGCGTCGTCCGGATCGTCGTCGGAGAAGCAGAGGGCGGCGCTGAGCGACTAGGTGGTTGACTCGGTGGGGGAGCTTGCGACGGTAGGGGAGTGCCTGTGATTGGTTGAGGCTTGAAATAGAGGAGTGGAGTTCGACGGTGAGGGAGCTTGCGACGGTGGGGGAGCTTGCGACGGTAGGGGAGCTTGCAACGGTGGGGGAGTGCCTGAGATTGATTGAGGCTTGAAATAGAGGAGGGAGTGCGGCGGTGGGGGAGCTTGCACGACGACGGGAGGCGGTAGACATCGGTAGATGGCGGCAGACGGCCGAGGATGGGGAACAGATCTGCAAGGTCAGGGTTGCGGCAATGGCGACGGTGATAGTGGAGCTATGTTGGTCAAATTGCTATAGTTTTGAGATTCCAGGGAATGTGAATAACACCCTCTTGGGTGTTATTCAGATTACCCCAAAATGGGATAAAGTGTATCCCATGAGATGGATTCACTTTCTCAGGAATTTAAAAATTACAATTCTTGTACCAAACATGAAAATCTTCAAGATTCCCATTCCCATCCTTAAGATTATTGTATACCAAACGCACCCTTATAGGTTCATTCAGTTTGCTGATTTGAGTTTTTAATTCAAGTTGAGATGTGATTTTATACGAGAATTTTTTATTGTTGCTAAAAAATTAGATGTGACTGTTTATGAGAGCTTTTTACTGTAATAAAACTAAAATTTTAAACCCAAATCGGTAAAATGAACAAGGCCTTCATAATTTGATTATCTTGTTTCAATACATAATTCATGATTGCATATTCCACAATTTTCTTAGAAAGGGGAAAATAAAACCAAACAAAAGCAACAAGTTGCTTGACTTGATGATTTGATTATGCATGCTAAAAGTTGTGTTTAAGACCGTCTGACATTTCTCATTAAAGATAATGATAACTCCATTTAAATCATGCAATTATGTACTTACATAACACAAGTACAAAAATATACAACTGTTTGTAGTACCCTTTTGTTTTCCGCACTGTGATTATGTTTCTACATCTAGTTATGCAGAATCGTCCTAGGCGATTGAGAGCATATAGAATAGTACTATTTGCCTGAACCACATGAAGCTTCACCAGATTATTCTTTTGCAAAGCTTGTAGCCTGACAGGAGAGCACAAATTGCTATGACTAGGAAAGTTGCAAAAGAGAAGCTGACAGAGACGATTGAAGCTTTCCAGAGTTGGGAAGATCGTTCAATCCGTTTAATCGCAGGTATCGCAGCTGAAGACGACGAAACCAGAAGGTAGACCAGCAACTGCAACATTTGTATACATGTTTTTTCTTGGTAAGAAATATATGAATCTTAATCTTACGAGGATATGCTAAGAGTAAAATATCGAGGAGAGCGAGCTTACCTGATCAAGTGTGAAGCTGGTGTAGTCTGAGACCATGTCCGACATCAAAATACCTCTGTCAGCAATCTCGAGAATTCCTTTGAAGAGTTGGAAAAGTGAGTAGGCGAAAGCTAGCATCGTCGCGGTTAAGCAATACCTATGCAAGGAAATGCCAAGAAAATGATGGTTGATATTACTTTCATCATTCAAAGGGTCCACAACAGTAACAAGTTGTTTGGTTAGGAGATTTGTTTCTGATTCGAATCATAATTCGTGATTTGTTATAATATTTTTTCTCATAAAAAATACTAATAAATAAAAAATAATTCTAATCACATAGTTCTAATTTATGAACTCGTTAAGTATACAATATAGCCTGAATTGGAAGAAGTTTGCAAGCCGGCATCTTCCGAACATTTAAAGATATACCCTTTTCCATCTGATTTTGCCTAGTGATTATCCTACTACATGAAAAATCAGTCTTAAAAGCAGAAGTTCAATTTTCAACTCTATGACCATTCTACAAATTTTTAAACCAAATTTCTGTTAGCTTTGTGGAACAGTGGTGCTTACAGTAATTCGGAGTGGTCACTGAAGCTAGAGCCAACTGATGCTGCCTTGTCTTTCTTCTTTGGTGATGTGATTACTAGCGAAAGAGCAGAGACAAAGGAGAACAGGAACGCCAAGAACCGGAGTAAGACGCCGCAGAGGTGGATCAGAGGCCTTGAGCTCGATCCAGCGGAAGCGGCCGAGATTGAGAATGGAGAGGGCGTTGGGAAGGGTTGTTGGGCAAAGGAACTGGACACAAAAGGAAAACCTTTGTCCAGGGATTTACAAACTCTTGGATCTTTCTCTCCTTCCATTGATTCTTTCGACACTTCGGTTTTCAGAGAAAGGTTCTTCATCTTGGCTTCTAAAAATCCTGCCCTATTGAAGATTTGGTTGTTGACCTAGTTAAACAAAGGGCCCTTTTAGTCGATCAGGAAATGTTGGTATAATTTCAGGGGAGGCAAATTGGTAAGCATATTTTCAAAGCTTTAGAAGTACAAATGTAAACGTGACATTCTTACGAAATATAAGCTACGTCAAGGCCAATCAGAACAAGCCACTTCAGCAGAAAATAACTGAATATTATGTAATGGTTTCCAAGGACTGAAGATTTAAGCAATTGTGAGGATGCTGTTGGTGACGGGCTTGGAACTTGATCAATTGTGGAAAATTTAAAGTGGGGCAGGTGATGGAAAAAATAAATGTTCAACTATCTTTAAGACTATGTTTGGTAGGAAAGAAAAAAAATAGGATAGAAAGGAAATATAAAAGTGATGAAAAATAGCAATAATAGAAAGAAAATTGATTTTCTTTTATATTATTTGGTACGAGAAGATGGAAAGAAAATGAGTTTACCTTCACTTGTTTGGTATTGGAAATTAAATTGGGATGAAAGAGAAAATCTTATTTATAAATTACTTTTATACCCTTAAATTTTTTGCTTGGATGTTGATGGAGAAAATAGTAATTTAGTAACTTTGCTCATTTTAATTAGTTGTCCCCATTTTTCATTTCATTTTCTACCCACTTGTAGAAAGAAGAAAAATGGTAGGACCCACATGTATTATTTTTCACTCCATTTTCTCTTCCTTTCTCTTTTCTCTATCACCAAACAACCTACATTTCTATTTTCTCTCTTAAAATCTCTTCACCTTCTTCCTTTCTTCTACTTTTCTTTCCTACCAAACATAGCATAAAGTAGTGGGGCTGCTGATGGAAAAAAGAAATGTTCATCTTCTAAGTCAACTTTTAATATATAAACTTGCAAACGTAAAGACTCGTGTACTTTAGCAAAGGTATAAGATAAGATAATCCGACATGATTGAGTCTTAAAATATAAGAGCTTATCCATTTGGCCTCTGTCTCGCTAGGCAACAAAACAATCAATTCACTTTTGCATTTATAAAACCAATAATTGTGTAGTTATCGGTCGTTGACGCAATTTAAGCGAAGGTGTGAGTTGTTAGGAACTTTCCCAAATAACATGGCTTAAGAGGGAGACCTTTACTCCACCAGTTTTCACTTAATTGACGTAGCGTGATATTTAAATTGCAAAGAGAGATGAAAATAGACAAGAACAAGGGGATACAGAGCCAAATCCTGATTCCATTGCATTCCATTTCATTGACAACATTTTCCATACAGCTCTTTGAAGAGTCAAAAAGGACTCGTAAATAATTTATAGCAATCAATTGTTTACACCTTTTTCACAATTCACAAATACCTGCTGGTAGGACTATTACTAGAAGAATAATGAGTAACATGCTAAAGAAAACATTTTGTCGTAAAGTAGTAACTTTTATTTTTTACTTTAAAGAGCAATATATCAAGTTGTCCAACAACTTTCCAACGGGTTCCTGTTCTAACTCTGACCAGTACAAGAGCTGAGGGGTTAGATAACTCGTGTCTTACATTCATATGTATGGCATTCAAGTTCAAGGCTTAGACTGGTAACCCCAAGGATTGTTGCTAGCCCAGTTCCACTGGTCCCTGCACATCTCTTCTACACCGTATTTCGCCCTGGAAAAGACGTCGAAAGAGCCGTTCAGAGCTAAAATAATTTAAGATACTACACAAGGAATTTGTACAAAATTAATTAGGGATGGAATGACAAATGTACATACTTCCAACCAAGTTCTTGTTCAGCTTTCTTTGTACATGCATAAACGGCTGTAGCATCTCCTTTCCTCCTTTCACATAGTTTGTACGGGATTTTCTGAAACATGTAAGAAAAACTTCAGAAGCAATCTCTTCTCTATTAAATAGAGAGAGATTGTCAGATTGAGATGGTGGAGAAGGGGGAAGTCACCTTGCCAGATGCTTTTTCAAATGCAGCAACCATTTCAAGCACCGATGTTCCTTGCCCGGTACCCAAGTTATAAGCAGTACAACCTAACACATCAAACCACTCTTTAGTATTTCCAAATGTACATACTCCTACCTAAAATGCACATCTGTAAGAATTATTGCCACTCTGATGAATAGGTTACGAACTATTGATGGCAACGGAATTTTCATTGAAGATAAGGAAGTACCTATATTCTCTGCTGTAAAAAGCTTCCGAAGAGCAGCGATATGGCCATCTGCTAGGTCCATAACATGTATGTAGTCTCGGATCTGTTGAACAGAAAAGGATTGACAGATTTATAAGGAACTCAATCGACATGGATATAACTTTGTTTAAGACTGAGTCTTTAATGACTTGGATTATCATGTGTCAAATCATGTTGTCGGATGAAACTAAGCATAAGTTAATCAGATGGAAGAGCACGTGGCCCTTTCAAAATAAGGTACAACAATGGATTTACTCACTGCGGTACCATCCTTTGTCGGGTAATCATGACCATATACGTTAAGCTCGGGTAACCTTCCAACAGCTACCTGCTGTATGTAAGGCATCAAATTGTTTGGAATGCCCTTTGGATCTTCACCGATCTTACCACTTTCGTGAGCACCAACAGGGTTGAAGTACCGCAACAAGATAATTCTCCAATCTCGCTCAGCGTTATAAATATCATTAGCAATTAGTTCAAGGAAAAGCTGGTAAGAATAGATCAACATAACAAGTCAGGGCAAATCCAAAGCAGCATTTGTAATCTTTTTATCCAACATCTGCACCTAGCTCAGAGAAGAGTTAGTGTCGCATACCTTGGTTCGCCCATACGGATTCTTAGCGACCAACGGAAAATCCTCAACACAAGGTATCTTGTCAGGTTGACCATAGACAGTTGCAGACGATGAGAAAACCATCTACAAGCCCAGAAAATAATATCCCATTATAAGCAGCAAATCATCACAAAATCCTAAATATTTCAACTTTCCAATCATATGACAGAAAGAGTTCTATTCAGAAAAAAAAAAAAAAAAA